AGAGGCGTAGCGAAGCTTGTTACAGAATGCCCATTGGGCCTTTAGCTGCCTTAGCCTACCAACAATCTGCTCCCTGTCATGGACCAAACCTGTTGCTGCTTGGTACCTCCTTATGAGGTCCCTCCACCCAGTCTTGCTCATGACTCCCTTGGTACAATTGCCAATGGCAATTTCATGGCACCATATGTCACATAACTTCTTAGTGTTCGGTACAGTCCAGTTGGCCTTGTGTTTCGTAGCCTAAACGATGCTTGTTTCAGTTCACCACATGTACAGAGATTAAACCATTTGGTAAACACTTAAGCTAGGTTAATCAATATCTACAACTGTTGTAGCTTAAATTTGTATCATAGAACACTCATAGCAACAGCAACTAAATAATACATGTAGCACCCTAGACACTTGCATGTAACTTAGCAGATCTACTACTAAACAGAAGATCAAGGAGAAAGGGAGTGGAATTTGTACCGGGACTCGCGGGGCGTGAGTGTTGTCATCCTGATTGAAGTTGTCATCAAGAATGGCTGGCCCCGGCCCGCGTACACGCGCACTACGGCCCCTGCGACGGCCAGAAGTGCCTCCCCGTGGAGGGAGACAGAGGAGGGACGAAGCCGCCTCCAACGGATGTTCCACCCATGCATGCTCCTTGTCCTCCTCCGCCAGCGATGCTAGTGTTCGACCTGAGGTTGCGCGCACTGTTGCGGGAAGGCACGCGGATGGGGGTGGGAGCCATGGGGGGGACCTCGTTGTCCCCCTGAATGTAGCCCGCGTAGGCCTCCATCTGTGGCCAGTCCTCGCCGACGTTGAGATCCAGTGACTCCAACCCTAGCCGGGACTGGTTGAATCTACTTGAACCTGAGAAGGTTTGCGCCGCGTTGGGGAAGAGGCCGCTACTGCCGGCATGGCCCTAGGGATTACCGGGCGCCAGGAAATCCCTGGTTCGCGCGTCGTTGCCGTGGCCGGCGCCGTCGATGCCGTGGTTGCCATTGTAGCCGGCGCCGTTCATGTCGTCGCCGTCGTGTCCTTCCATCATCGAACGCGCGAAGGTGGTCCTCGATCCGGACTCGACGGGGTGGATCTAGCGGCGTAGCTCGTGGATCTACGCGGCGGCGGTGGGATGGCGGGAGATCAACGGCGGTGGGAGGGAGTGACCGGTGGCGGGGGGCTAGGGTTCGAGAGTGGATGAGAGTGAGGGATAGAGGGCCAGTGTCGGGCGAGCGTGATGAATGGATAAGGGGTGGGTGCGGGGTACCAGGCGTCCTTCACGCCTCCCAAGCCTTACAGTATCAGGCCGAACACCCCACCGTGAACAGTACCATACCAAAAATTTTTGGGTGCCGTTTAGTTCCAAAAAGCCCATTGGTTAGCCTGACCAATGCTATTAGGTGTCTTCCATTTGGCCTTCTTTAGTTCCTACCATAAAGTTTACTCCCTATCCTATTGAATGTTTGATACATGCATGGAGTATTAAATATAGACTAAAAGATAACTAATTGTACAGTTTGCGACTAATTTGCGAGACGAATCTTTTAAGCCTAATTAGGCCATGATTTGACAATGTGGTGCTACAGTAACGCATGTGCTAATGATGGATTAATTATGTTTAATAAATTTGTCTCGTGGATTACTGACGGATTCTGTAATTTGTTTTTTTATTTATATCCAAACATCCTACGCGACACCCCTACGTGACATCCGATGTGACATCCCAAAACTTTACCCCTTAGATTTAAACAAGGCGACGATGGTCTCCATTCTCTAATAAGGGCCAACCAGCCAGGAGGTGAGTCACTGATGAAGAAATGCTAGTGCAGGAGCTCCGCTTTTCTGTCCCAAAATGGTTACTATTCTATGTTTCAATGAAATTAAGTTTTAAAAAAATTGACTAATTTCATAGAAAATATTGGCGTTTATGTATTCAAATAGCTTTAGTATAAAAATAGCTTTCATAATTAATTTAACGATACTTATTTGATATCACAAATGTTAATATGTTTTCTATAGATCTTGTTAAATTTTAAATCATTTGACTTATTGAAAACGAAAATTGTTTTTTTGCGGGGTAGAGGGAGTATTTTCTTAAGATCAGGCCCGCAACCTGGCATGGTAGTACACATAATTTTCTTTCTTCTCAAGCAATAGCTTATGAATACAGGCAAACAGCCTGAAAATGGACTTTTTCTAGCTTATCGCTTATGCTGAAATTTGGCTTATGATGATGTTGATGCTGAAATGTTATGAGAGAAAAACACTGTTCTATGGCTGAAAAGTAGCTCAAGTGAACAGGGTCATATAGCATCCCTTGCATCCTTCGTTTATTCTAGGACTATTTCTACAAACCACACAAATGTTGGTAGTTAGTTTATGGCTCGGCGGGGCGCTGGTTCTGGGCCTCCGGCTACTGGATCCGTGCGGTGAGGCGGCTGCTCCCGGTGGCAGCAGCTTCAGTGGCTGCGGAGTGTCGGCCCCAGTGGCAGTAGCTCCTGGGTCATGGCCGGCAGCGACGAGGCGACGGCGGTTCCAGGTGGCTGTGTGGCATGGCGGAGTGGGTGGAGGTTGCTGGAGGTCTTGCACAACGCGGTTGATTTGGGGCCAGCTCGGCAGGGGTTGGGATGTCGATGGGCTGGGCAACTGGGGCTTCTTCTGATCCCAGCCCTCTTCTCCCCGTCATCTCTCTTCCCCTTCCTCGGGCTGGCTTCCGTGGCGGAGCTGGTCGGATCCGCTTGCTGCTGGCCCGGCGGGGGGCGGACTCTCTGACGGGCTCCTCCCGGCGCTTCTCCTAGCCGGCGTCTCTAGGGGCGGCGGCCGGGCGGGGCTGCTGCTGATCCATCACCGCACCCTGCCTCGCTGGTAGGGTTCGGCCTCCGGCGATGACGATGTGGAGGATGCTTGAGGTCGGGGCGAAAGCTTGGACGACGACGTTTGCGGATGTCGTTCCCTTCTTGGAGGCGTCCTTTCCTACCTCTCCTCCTACAGTATTGGATGTTGCAGGTGAAAGCCTTCCCTTGGCGGGCTACCTTGTCGGCACTTTTAGCGTCGTTTCCTCCTTGGAGGCAATGCTAGGCTTTTCAGTTCCGTGGCGCTCTTTGTCGTCTGGCCATGGTGGTGCCCCAAGTGTTGTTTGGTGTCGCCCGGCTTCTGTTGTCCTTGTTAGTTGTTAGATGAATTGTTTAGTTGGGTCGATTCGACCAAGTTGGAGCAAGTAGTGGCGTGAGTTTTGTGAGTTGTCCGATTGTTGTATCAAAGTTGTGTAGGGCGAGTGGAACACTCTATCCAGTTGTATGGTTTTTGGGCCCTGTTTTCATTCAAAAAACTGGGCGGGCATTTGCCTTTTTTCCTTTCTTCATCTAATAGAAACCGCGGCAAAGCTTTTGCCGTCATTTCAAAAAAAAATAGGTATGCGTTTTGTTGTTAGCTGAGATCTTTTGAAGTGTTTTTAGAAGACGAGATCTTTTGAAGTTAATACATGACGCAGAGTTTAATAATCACCATGGTGCAATTTGTAGAATAATTTCGCTAAATGTACTTTGTGGTGCAAATATATAATAAATATGCTGGGGGCAATTGGATGAAAGGTTGTGTGGATATGCCTGACTGAACTGTGATGCTCCTGGTATTTTTGAATGGCTGCAAATTTAGGACCCGTTTGGCACGGCTTTGGCTCGTGAAAAAACAGCTTTAGCTCTGGCTCATATGGAAAAGCAGTTTTTTCTGGCTCTAGCTTATTTTGTACGAAAACGTTTGGCAAAACGGCTTCTCCTAACTCTTTAGAAGGTAAAGAAGACGTGAAATGTCCAAAATACCCTTATATTTTCTCTCTCTTTTCTTTTTATTTTTCTCTTTATTTTCCTTTTCTTTTTTTATTTCTCTTTCCTTCTCCCATTCTTTTCTTTTCCCCTCCTCTCTCTCCTTATCCGATCGGCCTCCCTCTCTCCTTATCCGATCCGATCGGTTCTCTCTCCCCTTCCTCTCTCTCTCCGTCCCTCCCGCCGGCGGCCTGCCCTCCTCCTCCTCCCGCCAATGGTCGGCCCCCCTCTCCCTCCCTCCCCCAGCGGCAGGCGGTGGCGGGCGGTGGTGGTCGGTCGGTGGTGGTCTTGGTGGTGGCGTGGTGGCCGTGGTGGAGGAGACCTTCCCCCGTGCCTCCAAGGCCGCCGCCCTCACCTCTCCCGCACTCGCTGGTGCCTCGTCACCCTCTGCCCCGAGCCAGCTCCGCCCCACGCCAGGTCGCCGCGTTCCGCCCTGCACCGGCGGCGCCGAGGCCCAAGCTGCCCCGCCGCACCCCCGCGTTGCTGCGCACCGCTGCTCAGTGGCAAAATGTTTGTAATTTTGGTGAAAGGATAATGGCACATGCGTCTTTTTGCGTTTGTGGAGATGGATGAGCCGAGGAAAGCCATTTTTTTTTGGCTTCTCCCACGCAGTAGAAAACCTGATGCAGCTTCTAGCGGCTTTTGCGCGCGAGCCGTTTTGCACGGGGCGTTTGGTACGGCTTCTTGAGAAGCCGGTGCAAAAGCCGCTCATGAAGCCCTGCCAAATGGGGCTTAGAATCCTGGATATGCGAAGCCAGAGCGGCTAGCTATCTGCTGCAAAACAGAAAGAATGCACATTCCGGTCCAAAAAAAAAACAGAAAGAATGCACAGTGACTCTGTGAGCAAACATGGCATCGGTGTTGACGATCAGAATCTCAGGCGCCTGGCATGCCCCTCTTATGTGGTGAACCGTGCAGGCCATTGGTTAGCCTGACCAGTGCTGGTAGGTGTCATCCATTTAAGATGGTTCTCCATTCTCCAATAAGGGCCAGCCAACCAAGAGGTGAGCGAAGCTATCCATCAATGATGAAATGCCAGTGCAGGAGCTCTGACTGAAGCAAGAACCTTTGCCCTCTTTTCTCTGCCTGCTCAGGTACTCCTGGTTGCATCGATCTGCATATGGCAATCCAAATCTTTCTTAGAAAAGCTTTCATTTTTCAAGTCTTTCTGCAGAGCTCTTTGCTCCGTGTCAGATGGAGGTCCCTGGCTGTGCATCCAGCATCAAGCCAAAGGTGGAGACTTGCGAGGAGGAGGAGCCGCCATTGCCGCGGCCGCCGCCGCCGTTTGAAGCTTCAGACGACTGGGAGGTGACCCCGCTGTCCGGCGACAACCCCTTCTTCACCAGCGTCATGTGCAAGAGCCAAGTCCAGGTGCCCTTCCAGCAGGTACACATCACATCCTACTGTTTCCAATCGGAATGCAGTGCACGCACGCACGCAGCTCACGGAGTGAGAGAGAGTGACAAGTCTTGCTGCACGCACACGGCACACCGTACTGTTTGTTTCAGATCATCCCGGTTCGTTTCCACCGCCACCTCCCGGAGGTGCGCGCGCCCGTGGTGCTCCTCTGCCGCGGCCGGTCGTGGACGGTGAGCTACTGCGGCGTCGGCAAGTGGAGGAGGCTCCAGGGGGCCTGGAAGGACTTCGCCCGCGACAATGGCCTCCGGCTCGGGGACGCCTGCGTCTTTGAGCTCGTCGTGCCCACTACTGCCGGTGCCGGAACTGAAGCTGCTGCTGCAACTGAAAGAGACGGAAATGACAGCAGCGGCAGCAGCAAGGACAAGGAGGGGAAGAAGATGGAGGTGGTGTTCCGGGTGCAGGTGCTCCGCGGCGGCCTGCCGGAGGAGATCACCTCCAGGGGCGCCACCTCTGACGACCCACTCGTCATCTTGGACTAGATCCAACTGCCGGTACTGTTGGTGGTTCAATTAGGATTAGTAGCAGGACATCAGTAGCGGTGCAGACGTGCAGTGCAGTATGCAGTCTGCACATTCAGGAGCTTTTGGTAGCACAGTAGGAGTATCTGTTTGCCCCTGCTCTAGCTCTGTGTCACTCTGTGCAATGCATTCTCTGTCTCATCGATCGATCGTTCCTACAAAAATGTAGTCAGCCCGTGTTTAGGTGGTTGAAAAGTTGGAATTTGGCTACCGTTGTATTTTCGTTTTTATTTGACAATTAGTATTCAATCATGGACTAATTAGGCTCAAAACGTTCGTCTCGTGATTTCCAACCAAACTATGTAATTAGTTTTTTTTTCGTCTACATTTAATGCTCCATGCACATATCGTAAAATTCGATGTGATGGATATTGTAGCATTTTTTTTTTTAGAAAAACACGGGCTCAGCTAATGTGTATGGATGCTAGTTTGTAGTTCAACGTTTCTGAAACTGCAACGAGCTGGCCATCTAATTTGGGTAGTGCAGAATCCTCTCATGATCACCTTGTTACGGTTTACTTTTACCTCTTTTTTGGGAGCATATAGGCCCTGTTCGCTTGAGCTACTTTTTAGCTATGAAACAATATTTTCCTTTCACACCATTTCAGCATAAGCAGCATAAGCCGAATTTCAGCATAAGCGAACGGGATTAGTAGCAGGACATCTCTCGTTCTCATGCTTGTCTAATTCATGGATGACAGTAGAACATTCATCTTGAGGAAAAGCTACGTAAATGTTAACGCGTGCTTGCGTTTTCAAATCAAATGCACGCAAGGAACCAACAGTGATACACATGGATCCCATCGTAGCTCAGTGATAACAAATTTATTTTTATTCATCGAACTTGCATGACTGAATACAAGACATAGAAAAGCGTGCTAAGCACATAGTTATTGTTTCCTTTCATGATCTTCCTTGCATGATGCTCGCCCTGACAAACACTCATGGATGTGCCCTTTGTGATTGTGGGGGTAGTGCCGGCGGAACCGTCCAACCTGCAAAACCCTTGTTTATGAAAATTTCATCATTACTTATAACTACTTAACAAAAACACGATAGTTTATCTCGAATGGAACTACTTAACAAAACCATGGCAGTTTATCTCAAACAGGGAAAATAGTACTTGGTACTTACGTCCGCATTTGCTTCCACCTTGAATTGTCTTGCCACGTTCGCGTGCAAGCCGAACCAGTTTACCCATACTTATTTTAATCTGTTCATCGATGCTAATGATACGACAAATGCAGGCCATGTCAGATTTCTGCACAGTTTCACGACATTTGTGGCTTGGCTCCTCCCAATCTTTATTTATATCTAGGGTTTTTATGCAATCGTGCTTAACCTTATCTTTCTCATGGTAACAATCATCCTCACCGAAGGCTTGATGTGTCATAATGATGGTAAAAACTAAAGCATAAACCATGAGTTGAAGGATTACTTTTGTAGTCATCATGACTAGTTGGCAAGTCCGAAGCGTGCTTCCTCTCTACTAACCTACAAATTGTCAATGTTGATTCTTATGTATACTACTAGGTAGCGTGTCCGTGCATTGCTATAGGACATCTAAACTTTTATACTAAAAACATACGGATCGCACGATATGATAACAATACTGTGAAATTAAATATCGACGTTAAAACGACATTTAATCCAAAATGCAAAGTTTATGACATTAATACAGTCAAAAAGAGTGCGACGTCGTAGACTCACAAACTCTACGTACCTATCATGAGAGTCAAAATTCCCATTTCCTATCATGAGAGTCAAAATTCTAATATTTTTGCCATAATTACCAAACAGCAAGTTGAACTGGCTCAGATTAGCATAACAGCAAGTCGAATGTACAGCTTTGCAATTCTGCAACGACGTAACCAAAAACAAAATTGATTCTTCTACCGACAGTTCGATAACTCTCTGTCTTTGGTGATATGCCAAATGCTTCTAAGAAAAGGTAAGACAAATAAAGTGAGTGTACAAAAAAATATCCAATAACAACCAGGGTCCATAAATTTCCATAATTAGGGTAGCCCTTGGTCATTTTGATTTAATCCATGATATATGATACAAGTAGTTGTTTGCTACTAATTATTTTTCCGACTCAAGTGCAATTTCTCAGGTTGCTTTTTACATGCCATAATTTGCTGAAATTATCCTCTCTCAAAAAACAGCTGAAACACAGAATTCTGCCATCACGTATGAGTTATGACATGACAGTATTTTGTTTACCTTCCCACCAACGATGCTCCAAATGCTGTCATCACCCTCTTCGATTCCATCAGAGCATGAATAGTCGAAGTCTACACTTACACAGGCACAAAATCCACCATGCCATTAGCTTAGATGAATCACCTTTGCGTATTGTTCCTTAGATACTGAAAAAAATTCCTAGTCTACTTGAATAATATTACCAGCGCATTTTTATTCCTACAAAAAATTTAGACTTCACTGATTCAAGGATCCAGGAAACATATCATTTCAGTTCAGTCAGACACAAGAAAACTCATCTTAATCTTTACACATTATATAGGCAATAAGAAGCATACAGCACCACGACGCTCAACTACAAAGATGACAAACTCAAACCCACAAATAATATCACCACCACTAAAACTTAGTTACCCTTGGGGTCACGTAACCCAGACCTGACCACTAAAACTGCAGAACGATCTATTTGATAAAAAAATATCTCTGTTATAGTTCCCGGGTTCGAGTCGCGGTCTCCTCGCATTGCACAGGCGAGGGTAAGGTTTGTCACTAACACCCTTCCCCAGACCCCGCACAGAGCGGGAGCTCTCTGCACTGGGTACGCCCTTTTTATAGTTCCGCTAGTGGTAGTAGGCCTCTCTAATTAGGTCAAATGTTGACAGTAAAAGGGAGCAAATAAGAACAATAGCTAAAACCAAACACAAGCTGCAGATCAAATACTGGTAGTCCTATGGCGGATGATCATGCCAACAACCACCAAGCTAGTGAGATGCATGGTTAAATAAACAAGCTAATCACTGACAACACTAACACAAGTGCTATCCCGCCTTACTTCACATGTGCTAATTTACTAACAGAAGCACTAACACAAATTACAAACACTAACACAATTTTTCCTGAACAAAAAATAATGATCATAGTCACCTGAAGGATAAAGATAAGGTTCCAAAATAGTCCAATTTATCATTTTCAGTGAGCCATTGTAGTAGTTTTGATGTGCTCCGAGATTTAGCCTCATCAAGTAGCTCTACAAATAGAACAACCTCAATACTGCGGGTTCGGAACCGCTTAACATCTGAACCAAGAACAAGATCAAATCCAACCTGTCTTGTTTTTGGAAACCTCTTTTCACTTGGATCTGGGAGCCAACCAGCCATCCTTGCAGCCTGCAGAAAGACAACAGTAAATGGAAAACATCTTGGTGCCACTCTGCACTTACACTGAAAAACATGTCAAAGTGCTGCTGCTGACCAACATCTGTCACATACATGATCGATTCTGCTTCCTCAACATTGAGCCGATACCTCCATTAAATGATCTTAAATAAAATATTGAATGCTGATAGTAGACACTTGATCCTAATAAAGAAAGTACAATTTCAATATTTGAATATCTTGGTATGTCATTGTCCTCGTGCGCCAAGTTTTTTTCCTTCCTGAACAGAAAAGGAAAAAAAATGCAATGGGATTTAGTGCTGGAATTAAGGCAGCAAGAAAGGGTGCAATTGTACAGAGAATTTTCATGCCTACCCACTCCAAGATCTTCAATTTGGTTTAGTTCGCCAAAGAATGGATGATATAACTTTATTTGCAATTTTTCATGCCTACCCACTACTGTATCTGTTTTCTGTTTCCACAACAATTAGAACAATGAGAATGAGAAAGAGCACTAAGAGAGTAAGGGGGTAGGCTAGTGGGTCTTACAGGTCTGAACTTGTTGCCCAAGGACGCCATTGATGAAGGCAATGTTGGTATTGGATAGATTTGGATGTACATGGCAGAATTGAGAAAAAAATCCTACCTTAGTCAATGAAAATAGCACTATCATGTGTTGTTTCACTAAAAGGAAAATATAGTGCTAACTGAAATACTGGATATGACACTCATTGTTTCTATTATTATTGTTCTATAATGAAATGCAAGTCAGTGTAATCAACAATAATATTTTACCGATTCCCATCTGCATTGAATTTAAAGTTATATTAAACAAATAATTTTTTATCACTCTCCTCACCAATCAATGAATATAGAGGTACAGTACAATTTCCATATACCCCTATCTTTCTTCTCTTTTCTTTTCTTTTCTTTTAGTTCTCTAAGACAAATTTAAAACCTTATCTGGGAGTAGCAAGAACCATGGACATACGTTGAGAAGAGTCTTTCCAGTGCCCATCACAAAACCTGCATCAGTGTTTCGAGAAAATTCAGAATTAAATAGACTGATTTGCTTGACTGACTGTAGCCAATCATCATTATTACTAAGATCGATCACGCATTCCATTATATTTAGAAGATACAAATGTCAGGGTTAGATAATTATACTAACCAATAGAAAAATGGCTTCTTGCTTTCACACTCTTACGAAAGGCATTGGGTGACGACCAGATCAGGGAAGTAGCTCCTCCTGCGAGGAAGAAATATTGTCGCATAGCTTGCGCTGCCCAGCGAGTAATGAATCTGTCGTGACGCAGCCAATTGCTTCATGGGGGCACCGCTGTCGAAACACAAATTGATGAAAAATGTCATAAGCTAGCTACATCCAATACACAGAAGCACATGAAATTTTGATTTATCCAGGAAATACCTGAATTGATCTAAGATCATGAACTGAGAAGCTGCCACCACCACATCCTGAACCTACGATGCAACTGGCAAGCCTGACAATGTCCATGTTTGTAAAATCAGCAGAAGTGATAGTACTCATAATATTAATATAAAGTTCTCTACTGGATATACCTATTCCATGAGATACAAATCACATTGGCTTCCCAAAGACGTTGGCAGATATACAAGGTTTGTTCCCAGTACACTTTAAGACTTGCAAACTGTCCGATAAATAGAACTGCATCTATGTTCCAGTTGTTTCGACTTGGCTCCCATAGGTGAAAGCGACTTATTAGTCACCTGCGCTGTAAGCCTTAAATTAATTCATGATCAACACACTGTATTATGAGAATAAATAAATTTAACAAATTCTTTTATGTGCCTGGGTGCCTTAAATAGGCCAAAATCTGCATCAGACACATGATTAAGGATGTATGATTTATCTAAGTCTTCTAACTCACCATGCTATTCACACCCTTTTGTTAGTGGAAAAAACAATCACTAGTGCTTCAGTCTAATCTTTTGCAATATGTTAAATTCCACTCCATAACAAACTCTACAAAATGTTCATTTCACTACAAGAAATGCGTGGCTTTTTGACAATCTATTACGTCATAATATATGAAAATTAAGTCATAAATTAAGATTTGTGACGAACAGTTGACGTAAATTCAAACGTCAAAAGGCCACCGTCATAAATTAATTATGTGACGTTTGTATATTTATTGTCACAAGCATATGACATTGCTTAATTGTCACAAAATCCTAGGCCTTGCCACGTGGCAGCTGACATAGCAGAAGAAAAAACATCATAAAATGAAATTTGGCCTGCTAAAGCTCACGTAGCTCATGGGCCACAAATATTTTTTATGGGCTTGCGGCCAGCGGGCTTTCTGGGGCGCAGCTCTTGGGCCTGGTGCAAGCAGGCTTTCCGAGGCGCAGCTGTTGGGCCTGGCGCGCCAGATTGGTTCATTTAAGTGCCCGTTTTAGCTTCCACGAACAAGTGGCCCAATGATGTGGCAATAGGCCTTGCCAACTTGAACAACAATATTTAAAATAATTCAATAAATATTTTGTGACAGATAAATAGGCCTTATGACATAACAAATATCGTCACTGGACCTAGTAGGACTAGTTATATGACATTTGTTGTGACATACAACTTTTTATAGTCACTAAATCGAAATGCCTAAAATATAATGTCATAAATCAGATAATATAGTGATATTATGACTTGTTGTCATACTAAATACGTCAAAAAGCCACACATTTCTTGTAGTGTTTCCTTTGTGACTGAACAGAAGTTAAGCTGAAAATCATACAACTATGGAAGCAGCTAATCTCCTAGAGATGAGAAAAGGTACATAACTGTGACAGCAGAAAGAATTCAGTTAAAGATTCCTGGAATCCTTTGTTCAAACAAATTGCATACCCAATTTGTTCAAACAAATTGCATACCCAATTACAGTATGACTGGATCTAACTTCATCTATGGCTCCATACCTGATGCTTGAAAATAATATACAATGGCAAGCATATGCATTCTCAATAAGAGAACGAGAATAGGATAATTGCAAAAAAAAAAAAGCTAGTCATATTTCTCAGATAAGAGAAAGTGAAATGGTGATATCTCATTGACTGTAGCAATCTATGAAAGAGGATTTCAAGCACAAGTATTTTTTTCTCAAGCGCCGCAATTGATCCTGCTGCTCCTATGTTTCATGTTTCCCCTCCAAATCGGCCCTCAAACCACATTTAACAACTTTGACCAAATGGAAAAACAGAGAGTATATAAATACTGATGTTTCAAAATTTTCTTAACACGGTTTCTTGGAATTCATCCAAACTTCCCTCGGCACTGTTAATTCCAGCAGCCAGATGGCCCATCATCTACTAACTACCTGCTAACTCAAATTCGAAAGAATTGGTGGAAATAAATCTATTTTCGACTGGATGCTTCTTGGGGAAAAGCAAGACAATATTACAGAATACTTTAAAAGATAGGCATAATTGTTTTGAACATTTGTATCCATGCTATCTTGTGTCTCACATTCAGGCATTACCTAAGGTTCTAAAATCTTCAGGGACAGGCTTGATTTTTTTTTTGCCTGCATAGAAAATGGAGATGCCAGGTCTGGTTTCCTGATTATACCTTGATGTCTCATATTTGTATCCATGCAACTGAAATCAGTTTGTAGAAGGTTACTGCAGCAAAGGGTTACTTAAGGTTTTGAAATCTTCAGGGACTACTTAAGACTTTGATATTTTTTGGCTGCATAGAAAATGGAGATGCCAGGGCAGGTTTACTGATTATATATACCTTGATGGCCTGAAAGTTGATTTGTGGACCTCCTGAATGTTGGTTTGTGGACCTTCGTTACCAACTCAAGCTTAATGGAGTCATCTACTAAAATTGAAACAAAAAAAAGATTAGAAAATTAAAAGAAACCTCTACTCAAACCAAAAAGGATGAGAAGATCAAAAGGATTCAAGGGGGAATAAAATTACATCTTTGTTCCTTTCTGCCAGTTATCTTCGTGCTTCCAAGATAAGGAAATTGTTCAGGAGCGAGGCTGAGATCCTAGTGGCATTCAGTGCAGACCTGGAGACGCCCCTGCCGTACGGTCTGCCGGATTCCGCCGCCCGGCCGGCGGTGGCGGCCTAACTGGGGTCGAGTGGAGATCCACCAGGAGCAGAGGGTGGCCTCTTCTTCTCGTGCGGTGCGGGAAGGGAGCGCCGGTGCCGCCGCCGCCGCCCCAAGCCTCCGCTCCGCCCACCTGCCCCTGCCGCACGAGCCTGGCCGGGCGCACGACTCAACCGCGGACCAAGTGCGGGCAGCACGGGAGGCAGAACGGCTGGCCGGCGCGTCGGTGTAGCGGCAGGCCGCGGTCTCGGCGCGTGCGTCTGTGAGTTCCCCTTGCTGTGGAGACGCGAACGGCGAGGTCGACTCGGTCACTGCGGTCTTGGTGAGGGCGGCTGCGGAGTGCGACGGTGCGGGCGATGGCGCGGGTGCAATAGGGAGGGCGGAGAACGGCGACGTGCAAGGAGCGAGGCTGGCGGGCGGCGAGCGCGACCTTGGAGGAGCGAGGCCAGCGGGCGGCGAGGGCGACCTTGGAGGAGCGAGGCCGGTGGAGATCGAGAGCGCTCGAGAATCTGGAATCCTTTTTAGCAACCGGAGGAGATTGCGCGGGGATTGGACGATGCGGGAGCGGTCCGGCGTGGGATCGCACGGACTCGCAGGACAACGACGCGAAAAAAATGTCGCACGAAGAGATTGTCCACCTTTTACTCTTTTTTTAAGTCGTGAGAGATACGCTTGCCCACGCGCTTCTGTTTATAGCATATGAGGAGCTAGTCTCACAAATTAATGTCAAGGAATCATCACGTTGGTAATAAAGCATACAAATCACATTGATTTAGCAAAACAATAAATGCCCGCTGGCGCCGCGTGCTCGCCCGCCGGTGCTCACTGCCGCGCTCGCTGCCGTGCTCGCCCGCCGGTGCTCGCGGCCGCGCTCGCCCGCCGGTGCCGCGCGCTCACGTCCTCGCTGCCGTGCTCTTCCGCCGATGCCGCGCTCGTCCGCGCCACCGTGCTCTCGTGCTCGCTGCCGCGCTCGCCTGCCGCCGCGCTAGCCCGCTGGCGCCGCGTGCGCTCGCGTACTAGCCGCTGAGTTCACGAGAGGAGAGTGAGCACCGGATGCCAGAATCCAATCCTATGGTCGTTCATCGATTCCCGTTTCAGCGAACGATGCCCGCACAACTGTGTTGAGACCTCAAAAAATACAATACATTTATTTTAAATTGATATAACTTCTAAATGGTGTATCTAATTTCAATTCCGTCTGCACCAGTGTATTCTACGTGACGAGGCGAATAAAACTAGACCTTATTTACATATGTTTTGAGGAACTTTTTTCTTGTAGCAATTTTTATATATTAACTTATATAACCTATGTACTCAAGTTGTATAGGCTAACTCATCGTAATAACTTATATACATAAGTTGTATAGAATAATTTATGCACACAAGTTGTGTTTGATAACTTCTGTACATAAGTTTATGTGTCCGTAACTTTTGTGTTTATAAGTTATTTCGTTCCTTTTGTGTGTTAATAATTTTTGTGTTTGCAAGTTTTAGCATAAATTATAAGTTAATTCTTTCTTTTATGTTTAATTAATAACTTTTTATAAATAAGTTGTGTTTCATAACTCTTAAGCTTTCAAGTTTTTCGTATAAGTTATATGTTATAATTTATATGTAATAACTTATATGTTATAAGTTATACTTTTTTATATGTTATAAATTATATGTTACAAGATAGTACGTATAAATTGCTACTTAAAAAAGTTTTTTGAAACATATATAAGTGGGGTTTAGTTTTGTTCGCTTCGTCGCGTAGAACACACCGGTGCGGACGAAACTAAAAACAGATACACCATTCAAAAGTTATAACATTTTAAAATAAATATTTGCTTTTTTAGATGACGTCAGCATCATGGGGAACGCGCGGAGAGAGAATGATTACAAGGAAATGCGGGATGCATGTGATCCTCCGTACAGAAAAAGAAATAGGTGTAAATTATTGTTTTCTAAAATAGGAAAGGTGGCTATCGAAAAATCGTTCACTAGAATAAATTTGAGCGGGCGCTGGTCAATTAGTGGGGTCGCACCGGATGGTGAAAAAGATAAGGCAGAGAGAGAAAAGGACTAACATTTATTACTTAAAGAAACCAGTCATTGTACAAGGTAGTTTCCATTGATAGATTTTTACTGATGTGTCGTCATAAAAACCGTATATAGTTTTAAACATTACGACTGCCCTAACAAATCTACTGACCCAGTCCGACTCCAACTCCCAAGTGTCGCTGCCCACGTGGGCGGACTTCGAGCTCGGGCGGGCGCCGGTTTGGAAAGGCGTGCCGCAGCACGGTGAGCCGCCCGGCCAATCCATCTCCGTCATCTCTCTCAGCTTACTATACGATTACTGATTGAAGCAAAGCCAGCGTCGTCGTTGCTGGTTTGTCGCCTGTTGATTTTATTTGCGGCGCCTGCTTCCGTGCAGCCAT